TGTAGACAATGTTAGGCCGTCCTCTAAACGATGGTTCATGCAAACTGACTGAACTAACCCGCTGGATTTCAATCAACCACTTGTCAATATGATATAACCATTAAACTGTGATAACTGCCAAAATCACAGTACAAAATCAAACTGAACTTTAAATCTGTTTTAGATTCATTTATTTTTGAAGTAGGTAAAGTTTCAACATAACATCAGCTTACTTTTTCAAAACTGAAGGACTGCAGAAAGTTAGTTTCCAAAATTCCTCCTCGGCAGCATGATATCCATAAAACGGACTAAACGCATAAAGGTGAGAAAGATCTAGAAAAGTTCTATATGAAGTCGTACACGAGATGACAGACGGTAGCTCCGTGAACAAACGAATGTCCCGGACGAAGTTTCAAGCCTGTTTTCCTCAGAGCATCATCGATCTCTACACAAAGCTTTGAAAGAAGCGATGGAGGAGCATTCGGTGTAAAGCTGCGGATGTAAAAATAAGGCAAAACGCCATGGACATGAAGACAGCATGTCTGACCTAAAAAGGAGACACTAGCTGATGATCATTAGGATCTGTTCCATACTTTTCGGCTGAAGCTGATTACACCGTAAATAACTGAAAGTTATACACACTCTGCTTCTTTTATATGCCATGCTACTGTTGTTCAGCAAAGTGACAAGGGAATATTATGCCCTATAGCTTAATTTGCTTATGTTAGTTTCATTGCCATTTATGTTGCTATTTAATTTGTGCATATATGTGGCGATTCGATGGCTACAGAAGCAATCCACAGGGAAAGTGTTAAGTCATTATTGTCACAGTTAACGTTACGGCCGTTTCTAAAACTTACTGAGGACAGCCAGTCCTGCTGCACTGAAATGCTGCAGTATAATTTAAGACCAGTCAAGTGCACTGCGTCCAGAAAAACCAATCTGTAATACATGCACCGAAGGATTTGAACGAGTTTTCGAACTCAATTAACTTGTTCATTGTTGTCTGTTAATAATGTTATAAGCAAGATGTTCCGGTTGTTTCGTTCAAAAGGTAGAACTGTTTCAACTTCATCTTACCATTATTCTTCTTTGCTTTCAAACTTACTTTTATAGGTACCTCATTGTTTAATTATTTACTTACTTTCTTGCTCGAATCTTTTTCTTCTTCGTCGATTATCGACTATCTTATTTACCAGCTTAATCATCAAAGGCTGTTAGCACACTCGATAATAGCCAGTGACTCCTCCAATACCACATTCCATGGTTTATTGCACTGCCATCTTGTTCCTTGCTAGATAGGTGGGGGAAGAGCGACATAAAAGAGCACCCGCAAAGCCAAATACATCTCGCATCAGTTTGTTCGCCTGAGCCACCTCGTGCCCATCACGAACAATATTTCAAGAGCTAGTACTCTTTAAACGCTGCCGCGTAAACTTAATAAGAAAACAACTAGGAGGAAGAGAGAGGCGCGAAACACCGTGAAAACTGGCGTTTGAGGAGTAGTTCGTTTTTCGGCATAATCGGGAGTACGAACAACTTATGCCGTTATGCTGTAGCAGATAATGAGTACCAGATCCTGAAACATCGTTCGCGGTGAGGTGGCTTTGGTGGTGGCCCTATCGGGCAAAACATTGAAATGCATCTGATACTGCAGGTAGGTGCTCAAATATCACGGAGCTGTCGCCTACTTAAATAACCCCTTAGGCAACTACAAGTAAGTGGCTGATGCAATACGCCGTGAAACCTCGTCCTGGAGGAGATATTCGACATTTATTAATTTACTTAATAGCATTCTAATAATTTTTCCCATCATCTTCCTTCTTCCTACATTCCTTATCTACCATTACTCACATACTTTTATATCTGCTAAACCCCAAATTCATTAACTTGCTCACCGACTTGCATAATTAATAAAGTATCCTCATCACACTTTCACTCATCCACATATATGGGTCTGTAACATAGGACTTCGTTGATGAAGGTTGGACGATGCTATCAAAACTTACACCTGATGTGCAATTTTGTACTGAAATACTTATAACTATTAGTTTATGCTTCAAGTATGCTCATTTTAAATAAGTCTATGTTTCTCTATCGTGCCTCTAGTGTACGCGGTGACCCAGCTGCAAAGAGTTCGGCTTTAAGTTTTGGAGATGCCGGTTCGAATCCCGCAAGACAAAACATTTTCCTTAATCGCTAATTCCCTTAAGGAAAGAATGCAACTTATGTTGCTTCGGTACAACCAGTTGAGAAATGGGTAATAAGTCGTCGGGTTGCGAACAACATGGCTAGAGTCGTGTTCTGGTCTGGTCATGTTAGAACAGAACAAGGTGTACGGCCATACTATCGTACACGAGCGCCTCATAGAGCCGCAGTTCTTCTTGGCTTAACTGATACCTGATAAATCAACGTGCTAATCAGTAAAAATTGCAACCCCTTGGTTTCGCTTTTCTGTTGTAAAGACCTAAACTGTCGCTCGCGGGTTGTACCTTCGAATCGTAAAAACTCTTCTTGAAGTGTTAGATGAAGGGTTAGCCCGAGATTCTAGCAGTAATTGTTCAAATATGGCTTCTTTGCCCTGGCAGCATAATTTGTCCGTTTTACTGAAACGAAATATCTAATCACTTTAAAGCAAGTTTATTTACACGGGTACATCAACCAGATATGATTTTAAGCCTGACATCCCTTACCGCTTGGAGTGCTGCCAAATACACGTACGACAGGAACAAATTCAAGGTTGTGACCAGACGTCAAACTGAAAACAGAATCAAACGATGGAACAGGAGTTCCAACATAGTAGTCGCATTTGAAAATGCGAATACGAAAAATTTTATCGGCAGAAGATATGGCTGACATCAAGAAACGGCCTCAAAAACGAGAAAATGAAGATCTTGGTTTCCAGTCTTTCGAAGATTGGCCTAAATTTATTATTTGAATTAAAAAAACTACTTTTGCGTGTATAAAAACGCGAAGACAGTAAAAATGAGTAGATCAAAGATTATTGATGATTCGAATGACGAATAGTAAATGATCAACAAATTAAAGGTTTAAATATAAAATACATGAATGACGCTGCAACTTCCTCCTGACTATTTATTCATTAGTCATGCCAATATCTATTATTATCTATTATTACTGTTTCTGTTTTGTTCATTTCCATGTTTCTTCAGTGCTTCGACAGAGTCAGAATCGGCTGAAAATCTGAATCGTGCATTCAACTCTGTTACCACTCTTAAAAATCAAGGAATGCGCATGTAGTCGATTGGAAACCGTTGCACAAATCAGAAGAATGTTTGCAGGCCAAGGGCGAAACCTTGGTGTAACAGTTATAATTCACATTTCTTTTGGCTGATTGTTTTTCATAATTCTGTCTCCGTGGAAAAGAGAGATGTAGAAACCCCTAGATCAGCCACGTTATTCGAATGTCAGCCGGTGCCTGCTTGTGAATCAGACACGAAAGTTGGAAGCCGCTTTTCATTCACTTGGTCGAATTGACCGTCAGTTAGGATTGTATAATAACCAATGACAAATGCGCTAGCCCCAGCCGTTTCAGGGTTCACAACAAGCCTACTCGGCTACCGTAGCAGTTTAAGGGGAACAAGTCCCTTCGTATTTCATCCTGCCGAGTAATCCCATGCTTCAACTGGTGTCCGCTCCCTTTACAAGACTGACTAAATCAGGACAGCGAAACTGCGTGTAAAAGATATATGCAGAAATGAATGCTGCCTATGGACTATGATTAAATGCGTCGCGCAGCTAATTAGTCGAATAATTCGATACTATATTCGCGACCTCATCAAAAAACACTGAAGAACGTAGTAAATTAATGTATAGTGGATATTAGCTTCTCTGTCATTAGATTAAGAACTACAGCTTAAAAACACCAACCACTTTAGACTTAGTGCAGAGAACCTAGCTTAATTAATGATCAGCTGATGGAGAAAATGTGCCCAGACTCTATGTATATTTCAAGATTAATATGAATCTCTTATATAACAAATGCGTAGCTCAAAGTTATTGCTGAATAGGCGGTTCAGAATAGAACAAATCGACTCTGTGATATACGGAAACTACGAAACACACCAATCTTCTAATTTTCTTAAGACATCTAAAAGAAAGAAAATTTCAACGCTGAATAAAACATCGAAATCGAACTCTAGAATAACAGGTTCAAAATCATGATTTCGTTACAATTCTTTATCGATTTGATATATAACAGATCCAGACAATATTAAAATTACAATTAAATCAGAAACCGTTTCAACACTTGTTTATCAGCTACTTTCCTCAGGAAGTGCAATAATTAAGTCAATGAGTCACTTTTCATGACTGCTTATCCTTGGGGACAAGACGACAACTTCCTGTTATGCATTGCGAAAGTACGTCAAAGCTTAACAATACAACGAATGTCGTCACCTGGCAGCCGAACGCTGCGAAAGCAATCTCTCGGCTCGGTTAGCTATACGACAGAAGACTGCTTATCCTTTCGGGTCGCAGAGGAAAATCAGTCACACTAGGTTTCTAACGTTATACAATACTCTGCCAGATTTTGGACAAGACAACCGGCGTCTAGAGCTGAGTCTTTAAATACACTTGCACAAGGTTAATTTTGGTCGTCTACTGCGTCTTCTGACTGCCGAGTGGGCAAGTAGCAGTTGCTTCGCCTTCCGTTCTGAAATCAATCGCAACAAGTGCCTAAACCATCGCATCTATGACGTCTCAATCTTAAAAAAACAGTGGCTCTAAACCTAGAGTCTGTCGGATTTCTGTACTAAGGACTATGCCGACGCGTAACGCCAGCGACAGACATACATGCGCTCAGCGTCGTGTCCCTCCAGGATTACTCAGGAAGGTGCGGAAGAACAAGCGTCTACACGCCCAAGAGCACAGCACTAACTTTACTCGCCTAAACGCAAGAATTCAACATCTTCACTGAGCGTTTTTAACGAACTGTTACCGAAGGAGGATCCTTGATGAAGAACTTAAGCACCCCAGCTCAAACTTAAAGTTGGCCAGCTCTTGTTGACCAATGGTAATTTTACTTTTCATACCTCAAGTATCTCAACGTTTCACGAGGTACCTTAACAACTACAAGACTAGCAGAACAGAGGGCGACATTTTATTTAAAAAATACTTGGCCGTTCATAACCCTGAAGATGCGTCAAATGTTGTATACAAAGTTCAATGCAGAGACTGTGACAAAGTGCACATTGGAAAGAGCAACCGGAAATTAAACATTTGGATAAAATAGCACCTTTTGCGGTCCGCCTAAGGCAAGCTGACAATTACGGCATTGCCCAGCCTGCGATCATCGAAGGGCACCCTTTTAGTCAGACCAATGTGTCTATCACTAACAAAGTCTGTTCCAAATCAGGTTTGCTAATAAAGGAATTTTTACATATAGTGGCAATGAACAAACGGAAGTGCAACGAATATACATCTTCAATGGTTACTGGTGAAAATTGGGGTACAAATGCAATATTTCTACTCAAAATAATGTCAACATGACAAAGATCCAATTGATTTTAAAGCAAACATCATACTTTGTTTGCTGACTAACATTCTGTTCAATCAGTCTAACAACATTTTGTTTGTATACGAGCCAACTGAAAAAAATTTATATTGTCTGCTTGTTGGACATAAATGCCTTCTAGCAGTTATTTTTACTCAGCAAAGCCCTGGTGATGTTGCGGTCAATGAAATGAAACACATTCGCAAAAAATACTGTATCATCTGTTGTATTTGGTGCCCTGAACCATGCAACAATTATCCACAGAAGAAGATCGTCCATAAATATCAACGCTTTCGTCTCCTTTTCGTCGTGCTGGTTGCACATTACCATTCCATAAATGTACATTAAACGTTTGAAGGAACGGAGCTCAACCTTTTCGTAACTAAGACCCTACCGGGAAAGGTTTACACAAAACTGTTAGAAACAAGGTGCCGCGGAATAACTGATTCCAAAATATAAGAGCAGTGTGAACTCCGGCCCGTCGAAGCACCTCTGACCATATATTCCCTTTAAGCCAGACGGCCAGACTGTTGAGAAATCGTGGGAGTTCGCCCATCCGGTGTACGTGTGTTTTGTTGACCTAGAAAGAAGCTTACGACCGGATCTTACGCAACAGTCCGTGATCATGCCTTCGAGCATATGGGATTGATGGCCAGCTGCTAAGGGCCATCCAATCACTATATTAAGATAGCAGGTGCTGCGTTAGACTACATGGCGTTAAGTCGAAGTCTTTCAGCTTTGGCACCGGTCTCCGGCAAATCTGCGTCCTGTCCCCTCTCCTGTTTGTGTTGTATATGGATAGACTAGACAGGCGCAGCCGAGGCGATGAGTATATCGGTGTAGAAGATGCGAAGACGAGAAAGTTCCTGTTTACAGATGACCTTGTTTCATTAGCATCTTCTGAAACTGGTCTTCAGTGCTCTCTAGAATGGTTCGCAGCAGAGTGCGACGTGACCGGCAAGAGTGTGAATACATCTTAAACCGAAAAGCCTAGTGCTTTCTCGTTCTCCTGCCCGTTGCTCTCTTCAGATTAACGGAGAGGCAGTGGAGCAGGTGGAGAAGTTCATGTACCTCGGAACTGTATTTTTTAGTGATGCAAAATTTGAAGAAGAGATCGACCAGCGAATTGGAGTAGCCAGTGGCGTTCTGCGTTAACCAGGCGGTATCGTTGTGATTAAAGTAGAGCTGCGTCTGACAACTAAGCTCTCGTTATTCAAGTCGATGTTTGTATCCATGCATACCTACGGTCAAGAGTCGTGAACCATGACTGAAAAGCTTCGAACCCTGGTAGAAACTTCCTAAAAGTGCTTTTTTAGATGAGTCGTCGGTCCGGAATACAGATATCCGCGAAAGCCATGGTGTACAACTGCTGCTTCTTCAGCTTGAGATGTCACAACTGCGATGCCTTGGACACGTGTTGCAAATGCCTCCAAAAAGGAA